ACCCATCAGCACAGCTCTGATCATGTAGAAGGCAGGCTCCCTTGGCCCCACCTGTCTTTCAAAGCTACCATCACAGGAGCAAGATACTGCATCCAGTCTGGAAGAAGGAAATGCTTTTAAAGAAATTGTAATTTCAAAAAGACATCCACACTCTGGAATTGAATTGACATCTCGTGAGGGCCACCAGTGGAAAAACCGGTGTCTGGGGTGGAGGGGTTATGGGCGCTTTGCTGTTGCATGCTGTAGACTCGTGGGGAAAAATTTGATCGAGCATCTCGGTCTTTCAGCTGTGATATTGTATCCCTCTCAGCCCGGGTTGCCTCTAACAAGACAGGATTGAAGCTTGCTTTCTTCATAATAATCTAAATTGTGTGTAGGGGGGGGGGGGGGCGTGTAAAAACTCTTAGATCTTTTTTAAAAAATCTTAGATCTAATTTCGCCCTATCCGTACGCCCTGGGGTCATTTTGTACCACCGGGGTTGTACTCTTCACATTTCAGAATACATCTAATCCAGTATGAAGATCTTCTTGAAACGTTCAGTATTTCTCAAAAAATCATTTTGAGAGACTGCTATGCACAGCATACGAATCGGATTCACGGGGCAATTTACTCTTTGAGAGTGATGGCACAGAGTTCCCCTTACCGTATGGATATGATATAAAACACGACGTACGGATAGTTTTAAAAAAAGAAAATAGCGGGAAAACCGATACGTTCCTATTGCAACCACGATACCGCAGGCGTCGATATGACGTACTCTCTGGCGAAGACAAGGCAGCTGCCCTAGCAACAGATACGACCAACAATCTGGAGAAGACTGAAGAGGGATGTTCCCGTAGCTGGCCAAACATTACGCTACACCTGGGCCTGAGAGCCGCATTTTTTTGTTTGTCATACAATCTACGCTCGTGTCTGTGTGGCTCCCACAATGTGAATAAACAAAGGGGAGATTTTCCCAACCCTGCATTTACAAAACAAAACAGCAGAAGTTTGGGAGATGAACAGTCCGTTGTATGTGGGGGGGTTTTGTCGTTGCTTTTTTGTTTGTTTGTTGGTCTATTTTGGGCTTTTGGGGGGGGGGGGTTGTGTGTTGTTGTTGGGGGTTTTTTTGGGAGGAGGGGGTTGGGGGGTGGTACATTTTACTTCATTTTTCCTATTTTCATGTACTGATAATCTCACTCTTACACCAAAGATTGTTAACACAACTATGTAAACCCCTAAAAATGTCGTGGGCAATTTATGTACAATATAATTAGATGTCACCAACGAATCATTATTTTGGTCGTTCATTTAGATAGGTACATGCATTAGCAACATGTGTTCAAGTGCTGCTATTACCTTATTTCGCTGCTGCTGGCGGTTCAAACGTTTTGTCTCGTTTCCTAAGACAAAGATTTCTTTGGAATTAAATATGTTATAATTAGTAGTATTTATAACCTCTTTGTTTTGAACAAACTTTTATTTTTGTTATTTTTGTATGCAAGATACGTCAAAAATAATATCAATATTTACAAAGGTATAGAGTCTACATGTCACCACGGGCACTGTGCAAAGAGTTTGTAGATTGGGGCCGACACTTTTCGGAGACGTCTCCGGCGAGCACCCAGGAACTATTCGGAGACGCACTCCCGCACACAGATGCACTGCTTTGGGGGGCAAACTGCGTATTATTTGCAGCAGATCACACATATAGCCTCTAAAACATTCGCAAATCAATTGTTTTCAAGAAAATTTCACAAACTTAACTGCAAAATATCAAATTATGGGTTAAAACAGTAACCCCCAGATTGTTTCACTTGGTCTAGTAGAGGCACAAAGCATTTTCATTGGTGCACTTCCGTTGGAGTCGTCTCCGAATAGACACTGCGGTACATTGGGTCAAACGAAAGAATATCCCATTCTGAAATAATATGCAATGTTTACATACTTTGAAAATGTCACATGACACGTCAACTTTTCACGTGATCTGTGTCGTTTTTCTAACGCGATACAGAGAGACAGACAAAATTACACATAGAGAGAAAGAAGGAAGGAAAGTGAGAAGTAAAGAGGGAGAGAGAAAGGTAGGGGGGTAAGATGAGAGGGAGACAGACAGACAGGTAGGTAGAGAGACGGGGACATATAGAAAACATACTATGCACGTACAGCTTGTGTCGCAGAAATATGAAGTCCCGATGTGATGTAACGTGTCGATAGTTGATTGTGGCATAACTCACTGATTCCCGTTCATTTTTCATTGATATGGTTGTACTCACTGTGAGTTTTAGGGGGGGGGGGGCGACATCTGAAGGCTACCTCGCTTATTAGTAGATCAAATTTTACCAATGTTCACACATATAACAAGCATAGTAAGGAGTCTTAAAATCTGAAATCAAATTTGAGAGAAAAAAAAAGTTTCCTTTTCCATTGATACGGCGGCCATATTTGATATTTGGACTTACGTAAGGAATACCGCACTTGTTTTTCATGGAAATAGATTGGGGTTTCTTTGTTGTTGTT